AGCTCGCATTACCTTTCTATCAAAGAGTGAGAAAAGAGAAAACTTGAGCCAATAATCAAGATATTACCTCTAAGGTTGATACAGCAGCTGCAGTGAATGGGTTAAAGTTGCTTTATAAATAAATTTCACTGATTAACTTTATACCATAAATATGAGATTTATATGCTATATGCTAAAAACAAGTGAACATAATGTACGCTACCAAATGTTTGGGGTCAGTATGAATTTTTAAAGATTTTTAAAAGAAGTCTGTTAAACTTTTTAAATGGTAGCATATGAGGGAATTTATAAAAGTAGACAGAGCACTATATTTATGAGCATGGCAGTGTGCCATGACCTAACCAAACCTATCAACACTCAAGATGCCCTGTTGTTGTTGGCAACAATTTAAACCATTTGATTATATAATCCCCTCTTCAGCATAGGATTTGTTTTACACAGTTTAAATATAATCAGGAGCGTCGAAAATTTGTATCCGAATTACCTTGTCTCTTTCTCACTTAGGGTGACTTTTTCTGTGAGGTAATCAAAGAGTTCCCCTCTCTTCATCCTGTTAAAAGAACATTCATAAACATAAACTAATAAACTTTAAAAACTATAGGAAAAGATAAGCAATACAGTTACTCTGGTGATGTAAAATTGACACATTACAGACAGACAATTTGTAACTACACAAGTATCAAAAGAAGCAATTTGGAGGGATTTTGTGCATATGTTTGTATTGAAAGTCAGGCTCTGGCAGAAACTTGGCATCTTGGCAATGAGCCATAATGTGTGCTCTTTGAATAGCCAGTGTCTTATCTGTATGCTGTGGAGTGTCAACCGACCGCTAATCTCCACTGGGAACATCTAGAAATCTGAATAGAAAGCAAACTTGTAAACAAAATAACGGTTAGCGGTGAAAATTAGCTACCAGGGAAAATGAGGATAAATCTCAATTTTTGCACTTTCTGTGCTAAATGTGAGTGGTTTGCCTGTGCAAAAAATTGCAGCCACAATTAAATAGTTTTGAAGGTTTCTCAAGTCTATGTGACCACTAGCAATAGTGATGCACAGACATGAGGACTGTGTGCCATGAAAGGAAGAGAAGCCATACTTACAGATCAAATACCAAAAAGAAGAAGGCATTTGATTCAAAGCAATCCTTCAGTTGAACTATGAGAGAAAAAAGACATCTGATTTGTTGTTGTTGTTGCAGAAACCATAGCTTTATCATTTTTATTTTTGTAATTCAAAAAGAAATTGAAATTCTTAAAAGATAAACTTCTGTATCATTGCACCATTAGGTTATATTTTGTGGTAAATGAACAGTATTGTAAAAGGGATCAAGACTAGCATTGGGCAGTCATACTTATGTTTTTTTGTCCAGACACTTTTCGAAGAATGTCGATCTCTTTCACAGTGGCCTGCTGGATTTCTTGTATCTCTTGAGATGTCATTTTGTCTGATGGTGTGATGTCTATGATCTTTACTGCATAATCCTGGCCTGTCCGTTTGTCCACACATCGGCGAACTACACTGCTCACACCTCTGGTAGAGAAGACATTGAGACAAATTCAGGACTTATCATGTAATTTTGAATGCTCCGATCCGCCTTTTTCGCTTCCGATACCGATTCCGATACCTAGGGTTCAGTATTGGCCGATACCGATTCCGATCTGATACCAGTGAAGTTTTTCCCCTCATTTAAACAAATGTAGAATTTATATATCTCTGTGTGTGGAACTGATATTCATTCTTTCACAGTCTACTAGATACAGACTACTTCATTATAAAGAAAAATAAAATAAACAAATATGAAAAAATATAGGCCTATGTATATTTATAATCTATGACAAAAATTTATCATAAACTAGGTTAGTGGATAAATCGGCAGCAAAAGTTATTCTAGAAAAATCAGTGCACAATAATTTTAGAAATCCAAACATTTAGTGAAAAACTTTAATTTTGTGGGGAACAAATAAAAGTGCTAAATATGGTAAAATGTTACACATTGCTATTTGTATTATTATAAAATCCATTCATTAAAAACAT